AACACCCCTCTTTTCAAATTACCTATTTAAAGTGAGTTTATTATGCAATTGTAAAGCAATAGAAAATCAATAGAAAATCTGTTTCTTCTGAACCCGCAGAATGGAAAGATTAGAGCGCATGCATCTTTCAAATTAAATTGAAGAGCTCCACTTCATTATTTTATCTTTTTATAAATACTTATATATTTGGCTTTTCTTTTTTTTTTTTATTATTTTATTTCTGTTAACTCTCAACTGAAATATTTTTTTCCACTGATTTTGAGAGAGAGTAGAAAGGAGGGAGGAATGGGAAGGGAAAAAGAGAGACAGAGAAACATTCATGTGAAAGAGACACATCTATTGCCTCCCGCACATGCCCATGCAAGGCTGGAGATTGAACCTGCAACCCAGGTACACTCCCTTGACCAGAAATCGAACCTGGGACCCTTCGGTGCATGGGCTGATGCTCTAACCACCGAACGCACCAGCCAGAGCATGGCTTTGCTTTTCAAAAAAAGATTGCTTCTTGTCAAAAAAGGATAAGTTGAAAACAGCAACTTCAGGACACAATTTATCTATCCTGTCAGAAAATGCCACCAAATGGACTGTTTGTTGCTTTTCAGAAATTTATTATTTTTTAAAGACTACCTAGTTCACTTCATGACAAAGAAAGTAGCAAGCAACACTCCATTTTCTAACTGGAGAAGAGAATTTGAAGAAACCTCCATATGTAGTATAGTCTAATTATGCAAGTATTAGAGAGGCAATTTTTCTTGTCTACTGTGAATGCTCTGGCTTGAATACTGACAGCTGTATAATTTAAATTTGATCATGCTATATATTTTTTAAGTCAAGCAAAAGATGCTAAAATCCAGATTTGCTGGCTTTTCTAAGAGGAATCCTGTGAGGATCCAGAAATATTTAACATCTTTCATTTTTAAATTGGCAATTTCTTTTCTGACTAATTTCACTTCAAATCATTATTTTTTTCTCAGGAAGCAACTGTGATTGTATTTTAAATAAGGAGAGGAAAATGCTTAGGACGGGGTGTGAATATGAACACCATCTATCCACTTAACCCTTGTGCTCACTGGCTTCCTACAGATCTATTTATTAACTGATAGAACTTGAGACAAACAGACGGAAAACCCACCAACAATTAAAAGCCTCTATGAGAAAAAGAACTGAATCCTTAACCTATAATTATCACTGATTCATCGTGGTAGGGAGGTAAATGATACAGATACTAAAGTCAGTTTTGCATCATTAGAAATAGAATCTTTACTGAAGAAGATGAGGAAGATGATACCCTAACATGCTCTTTTCAAATAAAGGGTTCTGTTTTGGGTAAATCTAACTTTTCTGCAAGGTTAAGAGGTCATTAAGTTAAGTACCACAAATTCTGAACTCTTGATAATAAGGCTGCCTAAAACTAAGTAGGAAGAATATTTTGCCTCTTAAGAAGTTTTTCCAGAATTTCAGTTTGCTGTATACAGACACTTAAAATGTATTAATTATAAATGGTTCTTGCTATTTTTAAACAGCAGATTCCAAAGGGCTTCTGCTTGGTGTTCTCGCATTTGCCTTGTATGCAATACTGTATCTCCTTAAGATACATTCTTTAGAATTACAGCCATGCCTTATTTACTCAGAATTGTGCAGGACTAGGATGTTCTACTCAAGAGGGTTATCTAGAGGACAGACAGACAGAAGTTCAGAGGCTGAACAGTTATTAAAAGTGAACACTGGATGGAAAGAAAACTTGGAGTATTCAATGTTCCTCAAACTCTGCCAATACAATCTTGAGTTTCATCTTGGTTTTACATTCTACTCAAGAATATGTTCCCTTTTACAAAAAATATGTTCTGTCTCCAAAATCTTGGAACACGCCTGAGGGGCCAGGAAGGTGCTCTGTGTCTTACTCGGTCATTTGTCATATCCTTGAACCTGCGTTTGAACAGCTGGTATGGATTCTTCCCTTCTCCAGGAAACAGACCGGAGAAGTGAAATGATTGCCCAGAGCTGGTTCGGGAGAACAAGATTGGAATCTGAGCTTCTGGACAGCTGAAAGCCTGCTCTATGACAAGACCACACTTACTTCCCCTGAAAGAACATTTTAAACTTCCCAGTCTTGAGGTACTTGCAAAAGGGACCATCCATAAGAGTCACATGGCAGAGAGACCACCCAAAGGCTGTTTATAGTGGGTCTGGACCTTGTAACATTTGCTGGCATCAAAGATCTTGGAAAAAGTAGCACTACTTGATACCCAGAGCCAATTTCAAGTTGGGACTGTTACAGACACATCTGAACAGAAGCCTCAATGGAAAAAAGTGAGAATAAGACACCTGGACTTTTGAAACACCATGGGAACAGCAGTAAATTTCTAGCCCAAAATTTAAAAGGAAGGGGATTTAGCATTAAAACAGAGGGAGTTTCCCCTTCTTGGAGCCTGGATCAGATTTCCGGCTGGTGAGCTTCCTAGAAAGAGAAAGCAGAGCTGGGCAAAGGACAGGAAAGACCATGGAAAAGCAAATGTGTGCCCATCATTCGCTCCCTGGGGCGTTCGACTAGCCAGCACTTCGTGAACACCCACTATACACTGGGCACCGGGCTGATGTTGAGGATCAAGGATGAGATGGCGTAGGCTCAGCCCTCCAGAAGCTCCAAGTCTGGTGGGCGCTACATCCAGTGGTTTGCATACTCCCCTGGGAGTTGTGGGGTGTACTGGAAACACTAGCAAAGGCACTGTTGCTAGACCTGGGAGGTAAGTGGAGCCCTCCAGAGAAAAGAAAGCAGGAATTCATCAGATGAAGGAGGGGCAGGGATGTGTGCGAGGAGAGACATTCCTGCCCAGAGAGGAACATGTGCAGAGGAGGGGCAGAGTACAGTATGTTCTGGGAGCTCTAAGTAGCTCCACATGTCTCAAGAATGAAACGGGGGTGAGCAGGGGACTGGTGGAGGTGCCAGTGGAGGCTGAGTGACAGGAGAGGCCAGATCCGCAGGACTCGAGCTGTAGGCTGGGCTAGGCAGTCTGAACTTTTCCCTAAATGGTTTAGGTCACGCACGAAGAGCGACGTACTCAGATCTGTGTCTTAGAAAGTGCAGCTACATTGGACAATAGGAATGCTAATTAATTATGGCTTGGAATAGACTTTCTGAAAGACATTTCCACCACTTGATCCACTTTGATTTTTCCCGCTAGCTGAAGCTTGCATGTTTATTTTTACTCAAGAGAAGAAAAGGAAAGGGGCATTTAATGTGCGTGTACCACACTCCCCGCCTACGTGAGATACTTCACTTATGGGATTTAACTAGATGTCAAGCACCCTTCCATGCACAGGAAGGGAAATTTAAGATCTGAGAGGCTGAACAATCTGGTCTGATTCCAAGTGCTTTTTGAGCTACATCACACTCACTCCTTTCAACATGTATTACATTTTAACCACTGGACATGGAGATCTTTCTGAGAGGA